ATCCATCTGGAACCCTGCCACTCAAGCCTCCAGAGTTCTGATCACTCATTTGTTACTTACTAGCTCACTTGTTTATTATTTACTTCTTTATTTTCTGAGTCCCCTGACCAAATGTGAGTTCCCTCCAGGCAGGATTTCACCCATTTTATTCACTTCCATATTCCTGACACTCAATGTCTAACACATATTGGCTGTTTCAGATATTTTTGTTGAATCGAGAATGATAAGGCTGTGTGCTTCCTCCGGAGAAATCTGCTCAAGTCTCCCTACACTCACCTCCCTCAGGATATCCTTTACCTACACAGCCTTTGCACTCCTGTCTCTTACCCATTTTTCCTGATCCAGCTCAAATGCCATGACATCGCTTGTCTCTACCCACCCCATCCCCAGTACACTTCGTCACATCTTTTCTCCTCTAAACTGTTGGACTCTTAATACCTCTGCTCCTTCAGTTGATTTCACAGCTCTGTGCCTCAGTCTCCTCATCTAAAAATGGGGGAAGACAGAGAAACAGAAAATCGTTGCAGTTGCTGTTAGGGTCATGTGGGCTAATCTGTGTAAGACACTTAAAAGAGCCTGCACGTCAACAAATGCTAAATATTCATAATTATTCTTATTCCCACACATTTGAGCACTTAATCAAAATACTACCCTTTATTTTAAAATCTCAAGTGTGTTTGTTTTCTGTTTCTTTTGCCTATTCACACAGTGTCTAGCATAGTATTGCATGTACTTATTAGGTGATTCAACAAACAGACATCTGATTAAACTCAGTAAAGGAAAAAGGAAAGAGAGATAATGAAGAAAGGTGACCAAATAAGTGAGGTATTTTATTAACTCAATTATATTTACCTTATATGCTTAGGATTCTGAGGAAGAAAGCTCAGTGCTTAAAATTCTGTACTTTTACCAATAAATTCAACTTAGATTTCTATTTATTCTTAGATACCTCCTGCTTTCATGTGAACAGGCTTCAAACTTGTCACAGTCTTGGTCATTTCTCTAACCCTTGAAAAATACCTGATCGGTAGTGGCAAAAAATCAACAGAAACATCGTCTTGTGCTTGACTTTACCTAAATGGTAATTCATGGATCTATTGAATTGTTAACTGGACCATAGAGAATAAAATCAAGAAACAATACAGCAAGTGATACTAGTCTCCGTCTTAAAGAAATATAAGTGAACATGCACATGAAATCAATAAATACCAGGTGAAAAGGAGCGAATTCTACTAGCACACATTTATTGAGCTTAACAGGGGATGTGTCCGTTGGCTTGCCCTCTCTATTCTATAGGATTCCAACACATTAAACTTGTCCAACTGTAAGTTATTAGTGTTGATGTAATGTTGCTGTCCCCCGACAGCTGAGCTCAGCAGTGCTAGTGCCATGTTTCCTTTCCAAAGGATAGCTAAAGAAACATTCTTTGGACAAGTGTAATATGTTTGCTATGTTTTAGGAAACTTTGTTCACATTTTCCTCTATAGCTCAATGTATCATTCCATGATTTCTGTAAGTTTGATTTACTTGGGGCCACGTGCAGATTTTAGTAAAAAGAACAATGTTCAAAGTAGCTCTGAGTAGTCTAATGGAGGTTCATGGATCCGATGTTCCAGAAAAGAATCATTCACCTCTTGTGTATACAGACCTTAATCTACCATTCAGGCATTATTTTATTGGTTGATTGAGTTTAAGTATGGGAAGGATTCATCTTCTTATTCTTCTTCTTGACTTATAAATGGATAATGTATTCAATTGATACAAAGGATAATTCTTTAACAAGTTTTTTAAAAATTTAGCCTATAATACACATAATTCTGTAACTTTATTCTCCTGACAACATACCATAGACATCCATCTAGGTCAATAGCTAAACTCTAGCTCATTATTTTTAATACCAGTAAACTATATATAGTGTGAGTATATTACAATTTTTCAAACAGTCATGATAGATAATCGGTTGTTTTTAGCTTTATTTTCTACGTACAAAATGGAAATTAATATTTTGTACATATGCCTTTACATATGAGTACTTTTGGATCTATAGGGTAGATTCTAAAATGTAAGGCCAATGAATCAAAAAGCATATAACATATAGATCTGCATGTAGATAGATGGATAGATGGATAGATCTGCATCTTCCTGTATACAGATATAGACACTGTCATAACATGTACTTATCTCTTTTTTTATTTCATCAGTCTTGATTTTCTGATTGAAACTGTTTTTAACAATCAAATATAACAAAAACTATGCCTTGCCTTACTCAGAAAACTTCAGCCCAGAAAAGAAATATGTCCCAAATCAAATCCTTTTTCATTGTTACCATGTTATATCAGGGATAATTTTCTATATTTTTCTATATTTTTTAAGCATCCCATCTTCTGACTTTTTTTCCTTTTGACAGAATAGTGTGTGAACTTTGTCCATCACAAAAAATGACCACATTTGCAGACTCATAGAACAAAGCATTTGGTAAGATCAGTAGAACAAAGCATTATCAATCACATTTCTATTTACATTATTTATAAGGACTCATTTGTTCCTGAAATTTTATAAGCCAAATCTACTGTTTTCTTTGCTTATTTTAAAATATTAGTCTGGATATGGAGCCAGCACAATTTTTCTGAATTAGTGCTATAATACACAGTATACATCATTGGACTGTTCTGAAATAAAGGTGAGAATGTTTTTTTTTTTACTTTTTGATTCTGAATCAATGGTTTGTTGGCCAGTCCCTCAAGTAAAGTTGTTGGACTTGTACAGACAGAAAATGTGTCCAGTTGACACAAAGTGTTTTTTAATAATAAGAAGAAAAAGAAGAAAAACCCTAGGATCTAGAAAAAAACACTCCTTTTTTATTCATTGACTATCAAATATATTATTTCATTTGATTTATAACAACCTACATGTATTTATAGATGAGGAAACTAAGGGTGAGAGAGGTTAAGTAACTTGCTCAACGCCTCAAAGCAAGTAAGTGGGAAAGCCCAGATTACTCCATTTTTCTTCTGATCTTGAGACCACACATGACTACGTCCCCAGTTCCCTATTTAACTCTACACATTGATCACCCATTTTTGCCCCAATCTCTTTCCTCTCTTAGTGGTAAGTTACATACCAGTCTGAATCAGCTGCCAATGATGGTATAGACATGGAGGTAAAGTTTCAACTGGCTACAGTATTTCTATACAACTGAAGAGGAATTTTGACTTCACATGAGCTAAGGCTTCTGGTTTACTCTTGGAGGGAGTATATTTGGAGGGAGTATATTGAGGGAGGATATTTTAGGGCTGGTTGAGTTGGTCCTTCCTCTAAGGTTGACATTTCTCCCAGAAGCTGTGATAGTTGGTGACAAGATTATCTTTCATGGAACACTTTTCAGCCTCAGACCTCATGCTCTTGTTACAGAAGGTATTTTCTACCCTAGCATCTTAAAACTGATGAGTAAAAAACTAAATAAATCTCACATGACCTGCTGTGTGAACACTTTTCTCCACTTCTGTTTCTTTAACCCTAAGGCTTATTGGGGGAAGCTAATGCCATTTTTTTTTTGAGGTTCTTAAAAGGTACATCGGAAAGTACCTCAAATCTCTCCTGCTTAATAAGCTGTTCATAGTGAGAGGGAGGGATAGTAACATTCCAATCCTTATTTTGTTATATTAGGATTCTACTTGAATAATTTTCTCATTGATAATTCCAGAAATTTTTCAACAGTGGAAAATTTAAGCAAGATTCACATCATCTTAAGAGACAACAGGATCTCATCCTTGAACTGTCACGAAATACACAGCCTTTTGCAGCTTAATCTATAAAACTATAGAGAGGGGTTTTCTTCCCCCTTAATTTGGTGGCTAACTATAATGCCATCGTGTATGTAACATTTGAATTGACTAATAATATTTTCTTGTAGATTAGGTATTTTTAAAAGTATCGACATATGAAAACACAGACTTACTGGTGGTTTTTGTTGTTTTGTTTTGTTTTTGTTTTGTTTTTACTAATGTATAGCAAACATTTTACTGAATTTTTATGTGACCATAATTTTAGTTTTTAAAAATTAATATAGGAAGAGGCCTAACTTGGAGAACTTTGGGATGAAAACCTCCTGGGAGTGGAGGGATGGAGGTGGAAACTCTTTGTAAATGGCAAAATAATCTTTTTCTCAATTCTTCTATTGCCATTCAAATCTTCAGGGAGCAAATAAAACGTCAGGCAGTTCTTGCAGGTTGAGGTTGCATAGCAACCCTTCTTTGACAAGATGAACTTACCATTAACCAAGCTCCGAAGGAACCAGGACACCTGAAGAGGGTGCCATGCCAGGGCCCCCGGCTAAAGGAAGCAAAGAGGCACAGAAGTGCTTCTAGGGACTTCTCACCCTGGGAGATTGTTCTATGCACACAAGCTCTCACAAAAGTCGCTGGTGCCCAGCGAAACGTATCCCCACACCTGCATGCGAATGCACACGCACACACCCCAGGGAGCAGGGCCCATGGACACCCCCTTGCCCCACGACTCCCCAGTGAACACGCACACAGCCCAGGGAGCAGGGCCCGTGGACACCCTCTTGCCCCACACCTCCCCCTCTCTGGAGCCATCCCCACACCTGCAGGCGAATGCACACTCACACACCCCAGGGAGCAGAGCACATGGACACCCCCTTGCCGCACGACTCCCCCTCTCTGGAGCACCTTCTGTAGAGCAGGCAAGCGCCTCCTTTCTTTTTTCATATCTTCCAAGTTACCAAACCTGGGACTGGGTGACACCGGGCAGCGACTGAGCCTTCCCTGTGTAGCCCTGGGACCGCGAGGTACTCCGGCGGGTCCCAGAGATGCGCAAGGTCTCGCGCTCTTTGGAAGCTCCGGGCGAGGACAAAGAGGGTCCGTACCCGAGTAAGGAATCGGCGGGCTGCGGGGAGATGGGTTCTTGGGCTGCCCGCGAGCTGTAGGGCACAGCGCCCAGGGACTCCGCGCGCCCGCCCTTTCCCGGGGTGCGCTCACCATTTGTAGCCTCTGCCGCGCTTGAACTTGAGGGTGAGCCCAGTCTCCAGAAAGAGCAAGAGGTTGAGCAGCGCGAGCAGCCAGTACAGCGGCTCCTTCTTCACCTCGGTCACTCGCCAGACCCCAACCAGCGAGTGCAGCAGGAACAGCAGCCGGGTGGCCAGGGCGTTGAGCAGGACCAGTCCCTCCATGCCGGCCCGCGCGCTCTGCCCGCCGCCGCCCCCCGCCCGCGCCCGCGCCCGGCCGCCCCTCTCGGGAGCCCCGGAGCCCGCCCGTGGGCGGGGACGTGACAGCTGGAGACCCGCCGCTGCCGCAGTCCCGGCTCAGCCTCCCGCGCCCGAAGGGGAGACAGCGGCTCGCCCCTCCCCCAAACTTCCTGAGAACTCTCGGAGAGGGGAGAATCTAAACCCAGCACGTCTAGACTGTTGGGCTTTCCAGGAAGTCTGGGGCTGTGCCGCCGGGGCTCCGGGGCGTTATTCCCCAGCGCTGCCCACTGCCCTCCCAATGCCGGGAGTCAGGCTCCATCCCGGCCCTCAAGCCCATCCCGGCCCTCAAGCCCATCCCACCCGCAGGGGCTTCCCCCAAACTCTCCGAGGGCTGGAGGGGAGTGAAGGTCCAGGTGCTACGGAGTCTGGAAAGGGAAGGGGGCCACATCTGCGGCATCTGCTCCCTGGCTCTTCCGCCGAAGTGGTTTAATTCACTCACTCTTCTTACAGGAACACGCTCTCACAGTGACTCTGAGATGGAACCCAGGGGGGCCAAAGAATCCGCTGTCCAAGCAGTTTTAGAAACGCTCTTCCTGCGCCGCTTGGAGAATGAAAACTTCACGGGACGGGAGGGAATCCGCCGGGGCTTTCTGAGAGCTCCCCGCACCGCATTTAGGGGGCAGGTGGTCCAGGTCACTTGCAGTCTTTGGGCACGGTGTTACCAAAGCAAAGGGATGTTCTTTATTAAGTCGTCCCTACTCTCCCCCCCTCCCCCCCCCCGCCTCCACTAATTTCATCTGAAAGAGGGAGGGTAGTAAGACAGGAAGACAGAGGGGAAAGTGAGGGAGGAGGTAGAAGATAAAGACAGGAGTTGGACTGGAGGGAGAAATTCATGCAGCTGGGAACTGCGCCCTGGAGATCAATGACCAATGAATTAAACTCTGGTGTTCCAGCATCCAAGGCGAAGAGCACACTGAAGTCAGGGTTTCCCAAAACACCTTCATGATTTAAAAAAAAAAAAAAAAAGTTTTTTAAGTTTGTTAGTTTATTTATTTATTTATGTATTTATTTTGAGAAAAACAGACAGTGTGAGCAGGGGAGGGGCAGAGAGAAAGACAGAGACAGAGACAGAGAATCCCACGCAGGCCCCACACTGCCAGCACAGAGCCCAACACAGGGCTGGATCCCAGGAAACATGACCTGAGTAGAAATCAAGAGTCAGATGCTTAAGGGATTGAGCCACCCAGGTGCCCCATGATTTTTGTTTTCCTGTTTGGTTTCCTACCACCTGTATCACTATTTATTTTACATTTTTATTTATATGAACTCAAATTTATACTGAAATAATTTTAAATGAAACTTTATATCACTCATAAATGGAAAAAAAAACAGTATAGTAGGCCATAGATGGAAGGTAATTACAAAACTAAAATAAAATGAAACTAAGTTATTGAAATCTCACTAAGTATTAACCACTGCCTTCTAAGGCTCTTGTACCTCAGCACCCCTCTTTCTGGGGAGAGAAATAAATGGTAGTCATGTTACTACCAAGCAGGAATGTTCTCTCAACTGCATTAGTAAAATTGAGAGAAAAACACAAAAGGAATATTTTTCTTGGTTAGGTTTATTCAACTTAGAATCATCCCATACTTTTCTTAAAATTAGGTTGCAAATTCTGAATTCTATGATCCATGTGTTCATTAGGTGAAAAAAAAATCCAGTTGCTTAGAAGCTCAGTTATTTCTGATTAACTGTTATTAGGAAGATTTTCTTCATCCTGTGGATGTGCATTCTTCCATATCTTCCAGGGAACCCAGCAGTGAAATCTCTGGGATCGCTTATTATAGTGCTTTTCATTGTAGGCGGATAGCACAGTGACCAGTGACCTCACACTCTTCAGTGGCACACAAGAGCACTGTGCACTAGGGCAGTGGGGGGCAGGGTGTGGACCCCGGTGCCCTACAGCCAGGCCAGCAGGCTGTCTTAGACTCCTGGCTCGGTCACTTAGTAGTGCTATAAACTTTGTACCTCAGTTTCCTCATCTGTATATGGGGTACTAAACTCATCAATTCATAGGGCCATTGTGGGGATCAAATGAGTCAATCCATATAAAGAACCTGGCAGCTAAGACGTGCTTGGTAATCACTGATGATTCTTGCCTGGACCAAGAAAGTTAGTTCTGGGAGTTGCTCTTTGACGATCTGAGACAATTAATACTCAGAGTGGAGCAACGAATGTGACCCTCGCAAGGCCTGTCAAATCCCGGCCGAATGCCACCAGGAACACATCTGTTGCTGAACAAATGAGGTTTACTGCTCTTTGAAGGAAAGAGAGCACAGTCTGGGGAGAACTGAGGGCATCTCAGGAAGAAGGCATTAGAAAGGACTCACTAAGAAGCGCTTGAACTTCTGTTCAGTGATTTGAGGACAGCTAAGAAAGTGGGGCACTACTCTATTTGGTTGCTCCCAGGAAGTGGGGTTAATTCTATGATGGGGTGTCTTAATAAAGCTTATTTAGTTAGGGGTCAGTTAGGTCAGTTCCATGGTTTGGGCAATGTTCATATTTTGTCTGAGTTCAGACAAAATTGCCCAGTGATCCTACTTCTGTCTCACTCCATCAGCCTCACAGAGTGGCCCTGCTTGATGTTCATGTTCTGTGAAATTTTTGTCTTCACGGGAGGATGGAAGGGCCTGGCTGCCTCTCTCCTCTTTCTCAAGCCTCCTGGGAAGGGCTCCAGGAGAAGGGTTTAACAAGGAAGGGAGTTGCTCTGCTAGCTTCCAAACATCTATATTGCTTCTTGATTTGAAGGTTTAGATTCAGTCTAAGTTCCATTACCTGGGGGTCTGAAAAACAAAATTGTCATTAAATATAACTTTAAGGTTATTTAAAAAAATATTGTTCCTAGGCTCATTTTAGAAGACTGGAGGCTTTGAGAACTATCTTGAGATCTCCAATCCAAATAGATCACACATCTTTTAAAAAGAAAAAAATTAAGCAATTTAAAAAAATCCTACTCTTCTTTCTTTTTATTAAAAAAAAAAGTGTACTTATTTATTTGAGAGAGAAAGAGCATGAGCAGGGGAGAGGCAGAGAGAGAAGAGAGAGAAAACCCCAAGCAGGCTCAACACTGTCAGCACAGAGCCTGATGAGGGGTTCGATCCCACAAAACATGAGATCAGGACCTAAGCAGAAGTCAAGAGTCTGATGCTTTTTTAAAAAAATTGTTTTAAGGTTTTTATTTCTTTTTGAGAAAGAGACAGAGTGCCAGCAGGGGAGGGGCAGAGAGATAAGGAGACAGAATCCGAAGCAGGTTCCAGGCTCTGAGCTATTAGCACAGAGCCCAGCGTGGGACTGGAACCCACAAACTGTGAGATCATGACCTGAGCCGAAGTTGGACACTTAACCGACTGAGCCACCCAGCACGCCCAAAATGTCTCTTCTTGAAAAAGCAATCTTAGCCTCATACACCCAGTTCTTGTGATATAGAGTTGGATTGCATGTAGTGGAACCAGCTCACCCTATTGTCCCAGGGGACAGCAGTCGCCACACTTCTCTTGCCTTCTGAATGCAAAGTGAAACCGTTGTCAGGCTTCTCTGCCAATTAGAGTGATTTTGCTCGTATGGAAGAGTCTCTTTCATGCTAACTCAAGTAAAAGGAGTAGTTACTGGAAGGTCTAACCAGGTCTAACCAGGTCTAACAAGGAGATGAAACCCCTTGGAAATCAAGCACAAAGTACAATAGAGGCTTGAGCAACTGGAATTGTAGGATAGCTGTGGACTGAAGGGGCTCTGGGATTTCCTAGTTGCAGTTTATAGACCTTTTCACAGCAACTCTCTGCCACTGTCCACTTACAAGCAATCTCTCCACATTCTGAGTTCAAACTCCTGAGAAAAGGAATTCACTGAATTTTTTCAATTCTAGTTACCAGGCCACACATTGCACCAGTGAGTAGGCTATTGATGGACTGTAATTCAATCACTGGCCATTCCAATGCAAAGCCCGGTGTTGATGCTGCTTTCATCATCCTTCACCATGGGATTCTGGGTAGGACAGTTTGAGCAGAGGAGGAAGGGCCACAGCAGGCATATTGACTGATGCATCTAGGACCATCCGTCCCTTGGCTGATATGTACACATCCTATTTCTACAGTGTTAGAGATGACCCTGTCTGATACTATTTAAACATTGTAGGCACAATTATGGCCTCCAAACAGCGATGCAATCCAAAATCACATCTGCCTCCAGAAGCCACCAAAGCTGCAGTTGGGTCTCAAAAGCCACAGCTTCCTATTAATGTTCATTCCTCCCTTGACTCCATTTTGGTCTTTAGACATCATTCATATACATACACACATACATACATACGTATGTATATATGTATGTATGTATATGACATGATGCATGGTAAAAATCATACACTGTAGGAAAGTACACTTCCACTCCCCAGAGAAATTGTTCACAATTAACACCTTCCATTTGCATTTTTCTTGGCAGTTACAATGATATCTTTTAAAGTATACCTTATATTTCTCTGTTTCTTAATTTACCAACTCACAAAATTTGAAAGCTGGGGAGTCTGATACTCCCACAATATCTTCTTTCTTCTTCACTCCACCTCTACTTCCCAAATTTTGTTAGAGATGATGTTGTCTATGAAAACAACATACTGCTCCCTAGGTATAATTAAATATATTGCATTGGTCTTAAAAACTGAAAATCAGCACAAAATATTTAAAATATGTAGTTAGCATTCAATGTAATTTTCATATGCAATGTATGTTTTCCTCAGAACTTCGAGAACATCTATTATTTTTCAGAATCCAGTATTACTGATAGGAAGTTTCATGTACATCTCATTGTCTTCTCTTTGTAGATAAGTATTTTTTAATCTCTGGAATTATTAGGATTTTTTCAAATCCCTGGAATGTTTATCATTTGAATGTGTGTAAATAGATATTGGACTTTTTCCATTTACACTACCCTAC